TGGTTATTAGATGCTGCTCCAGCCAGCCAGAGAATCCCCCGCCGCCCCGCCCTCTCCTCCCTGTGTCGCAAGCAGCAGGCGCACCTGGCAAACGGAGGGCACTCTTACTCCCAGTAAATGGGCGATAGAAAACCGATCGGTGCCTGTACCATTCCCAATATGCGCTGGCATGATGTACAGCATGAGTACGAGCAATTTTTTATTTTTTTTTTGCCGACCGCCCGTGTCGCCCGTATCAAAAACCGCTATACTGAATATTACTTTTATTACTCTTTCTGGGTCTCAAAATAAACTCTTAACATATTTTCAGGCTAGAATGTAGCTGTGTAAACTTCACATATCTGTGTTATTGCGTTATAATCAACCAGCTTCCCTTTGTCCACTTAAAATATGTTTACAGAACTATTTTTTGCATTTGTTGCCATTTCAGCTGTCCTCTTGGCCAGATTACTCTTAAAATATTAAGATTAAGATTAAGATTAAGATATTTTTAAAGTAAACAAGAAGTTTTTTAACTGCATAAATAAAGGATACATAAAGGTCACTACCAAAAACTGATTGCCGCTTCTACCTTATTACTGCAATGTTGTTTGTTGCTCAAGATGACTTGATATAATTCATGAGGGATATATTTGACATAGGTTATAGGTTTATGTCCACCTGGACGCAGCCTCTGAATTTGGATACCCCCGGCCTGTTTCCAACCATAATAATGGTAGCATTTAACTTATTTTATCCTATAAATAAACATTGTAACATTGAAGTTTATATATATATATATATATATATATAACGAAGAAAGCTTTCACCCACTAGTGAAGACTGTCATTGCCAGGTCAGCAGCACTGTTGAAAAGGCTCTGGAGATCCCTGTATCAAGCATGTAAACCTGTGACACAAAAATCACCAAACTCGGACTACCACAGACTGGTTTCCTTCGTGGTGATGAAGGAAAATGCTGGGCTGGCATGTAAAAGGAAATTTATTCCCTTCAACGACCTGAAGCTCCATAAGGCACCCCTCCAATAGCTAAACCCACCTGTTCTCTGATTGGATTGTTAAATTTGTGATTGACATGACATTGACCAGTCAGCTGAAAGGAAGAAAAATAGGGTCAAAATTCGTACTTGAAACTTGAGTGCAGAGTTTCATGTATTTTTTGGCTATGTCCACACACAGATCTTTTTTATGCACACACAAATTCTTTTTACACATACAAATCCTGATTTACAAGTACAAAATATTTATGACCACGATTTGAGCCCATATGGTTGTTTCCAGTTCTTTTGCTTGGATCAAACTAAGATCAGTGAAAGAGATTTCTCTGCGGTATTTGTTTGTCAAGCACACAGGCTAACAGCCAATAGGAAGATAGAGAATGTGGTTTCTATGGTGATGCTGCTGTCACACAGGTTTAAAATTTGTCTTGTAAAACAGGTTAACAAGGAAACACAGGTGCATTTCCTCATTGGTGGCTGTTTGGTACAGAAGTCTCTTTACTTTTAGATTTTAAGCCTGATAAATATTATAGTTTTATTTTATTTTTATCTGTTAGTGGATAATTTTCTTTTTTCTTTGAATGTTTCAGAGATCCTTCAGAACAACAGTAAGTGTTTAAAATTACGTCTTTTAGGTAATCTGACAGGTTGACTGAACTCTGTGAGCTTTAGTGGGTCAGATTGTTAATGTTCATGTATGCAGTGTCTAAACATGCTGTTCAGGTGTTCATGACCTTTACTTTTATTAATTCAACCTAGTTTATCTCATTTAAAATAAAGTGTGGAGTGGAAAGTTGTCATTATGTCTACCTGTACTAGTGAAAAACGTTCATTGACTTCAATGTGTTTCATCATCTGAAGAACCAAAAGCTGTCAGACTTTATCTGACACAATATAAAGAATAGCATCACCTCAATCACAAACAGGAAATGTACTCAGTTACTCTCCTGTACTCTGATTACAGTCATGTATGTTTTCTCTGTGGCTCTTTCTGCTGCTTCTTTGTCCCTCACTGTAAAGAGATGTACTGAGAGACTCCTGCACTGATGTTTCATAGGAAATTTAGAACAATCGAAGCGTCGGAGTTCAAGAACACGGAAATGTCTGCTGTGACTGCGTCGCTCTGCTCGACTTTGCTGTTTGTCGGCCTCTTCGTGTTTGTCTCTGCAGGTGAGATTCACTCTGTGGGACAGAGAGGAAAAGCATCTGTTTACATGTTAACAACATTTCCTGAAGAATTATTTTCATATTGATTCAGTTTTTCCGTGTTTTTGGAGGCCACACGAGGCTGGGTGGAGTCTGTGTGGACCTAACATGTCGGTGTGATCAGATCTCACAGAGACAAAGCCAGTGTCAGTGTGTTGTATTGTAGTTTCAGGAGTCTGTATACAGCTACAAAGCTTTTTGTTCAGTGTATACAAACAGCTGTAGCTCCATAAAGGCAGCAGAGACTCACAGTGTCTTATAATGAGAGGCTGCTTTCTCTCACACATTATGTTCACTTATTATAAAAACATGTTTGTGTCATGTTCACATGTAACATGTCCTCACATTAATAATGAGGACTGAGAAAAATGCTCTACAAAATCAGAAAAAAATACACATTCTCCCTCAGCTAACATTATTAAATACCAAAAAAAAAAAAAAAAAAAACAAAATACTCAGATGAAAAAGAAATAAACAACCTATTAAAACTCAATAATTCTTAGAAGATTTTTGTTTGGCCACTAAAAATCATTTGATACTTTATGAAAACAATAGTTTGTTACTTGTCATTGAATGGAAAACAGGCCCAAGTTTATTTTCAGCACTGAAGCCAAGTTCTGCATCAGATTAACTTTAACTTTAACTCGTAATGACTTCATAATTTTCTCTACAAACTCATGATTCTACTAATTTACATTTAAACTGTAGATTTATCTGACCTAACATCAGCAACTACTTCTGATAAACCAGCCATTCCCAGAGTCTGTGCTGTAGCCCACTTAATAAAAAACACGAAATCACATGGGCCCAGCGATCTTAAATCTTCAGTCTAATCAAAATAGAAAGAGTTTTTCTTTACATAGAAAGAGTGTTTCTTGACATTTTTGTTAAAAAACAAAAAAACATAAATCACGCAGGCTATAAACTGCTAATGCTACCCAGTCACAGGTGTTAGGGAAATTGTGAAACCCACCTGCTAATGGTAATCAAACTTCAGCACAAGAGCAGTAAATGAAGGTCAGAAAAATGGGTAATATCACAAAGTAACCACATCCTATTACCAGTTTGTTTTTTTTAATATAAATAAATATTTTTTGTAAAAATATGTAACTCCACATAGTTGTGAAATTTGAATTTGAATTTCAAATTTCTGTTATTACTGTGGGTCACCTGCAATACTTTCCCAGCACACCAGGGGGTTGTGGATCACTTTAGCTCTCTGCTTTAGGAATCACTGCTCTAAACCATTGTGTTTGATAGAGTACACTTTTATAAGACAGTTCAAAGAAGTCTTACCGTTAATTATTTTTTTCAATTTTTAAACAATTTTATTTTCATATTTAACAGGCTACATACAACAGGCTTTCAAGGTCACTGCAATTAACACACTACTTAAAAAGCCATTAGCTGACCAAGCTGCCTTAGATATGTACAGACCAATTTCTAACCTTCTGTTTATCAATAAAATATTCTTGAAATTAAAAAAAATCACTAACTGATCCTCTGCACAGTAAATGGTAAAAGTCAAATGAATTGAGTTTTGTGTCTTTTCGTGTAGCTCCTCTTTCAGACAAGAAAATCATAGCTCAGTCTGGAGAGGACGTCACTCTGACATGTCGAGCTCCAAACAAGAACAACATCATAGTTGTAGAGTGGAGCAGAGCTGATCTGGGAGAAGAATATGTGCTCTTGTACCGGGACGAGCACTTTGATACCACCAACCAGCATCCATCTTTTAAGAGCCGGGTGGATCTGCAGGACAGACACATGAAGGATGGAGACGTGTCTTTGATTCTGAAGAATGTGAGGACTGATGATAGTGGAACATACGAGTGTCGTGTCTTCGTGGGAGAAATCCGCAGGAAGAGAGCAAATCTGAGTGGTGACAGCATCAGCATCATCCACTTGCATGTTGTTCCTCCAGGTGAGTGAGTAGAGTTGAGTGTGTGTGTGATCAGAGGTGAAGCTGCTTCCTGGTTGTTGATGTTTGTTTCTAAAGATGTTGTTGATGAGACTTTGTAGAAAGCAGCTGGTCTGAGTGATGTGATCAGAGTGCAGTAGATAATGTCTGACAGCAGTTTGAAGAGGAAATGGATTCTGTTCTGTTCTTCACTCATCACCTACCTGACAGCTGACACCTCACACCTGTTTCTCACCTGCAGGTCAGCCAGGAGGACACACAGAGGATGGAGGGAAGGAGGATGGATCTGTTGGACTGAAAGTTGGTCTTCAAGTTGCTTTTTTGTTTGTTGTTGTTGTTGGTGATGTTTTTCTGAGCCATAGAAAACAGCAGAAGGTTAAAAAGGACATTGTGTAGCTAAACTGTTAAATCTGCCTGTTACAAAATCTAAGTGTCATCTTTGAAATTTAAGAAGGATAAGGACACAGAGACTTTCCTCTGATTATCATCAGACCTGTTTAGACTGTTACATCAACTCATGATTTCACTGTGCTATGTTACTGCAATCAGTGGCTGTGTTTATTTAAGCTGCTCAGTGTAAGAGTTTAAAAGTTTTCTCAGAGTTCAAAAGTACTGCTTGATTTATGTCAGAAATCACTTTGTATATAATTTGTTAGGTTATTCTTGAGTTCAATAAGAACAACACAAATCAATCCCTTATGTGCAGATGAGCTGTTACAGTATGTGACGAAGAAAAGACTAATTACTGTAGATTTCAGACGATCAGTAATCTGCCTGACAGTGTTCAGGACTTGTTGATCAGTAACAGTTGAATGAATGTTATGAGAGGCAAAACGGACTGCAATGTAAGAAAACACCAGCAATAAGAAAAATGCTGCAAAAGCACACAAAACACAACAGAAATAGGAAAGAAAAAACACAAGGGAAATGTTTCTGGGGAGACAATAACCCGATGGACCAGTTGAAGAAATCACTTTGATTCGTTTTTTTCCTGCTCATTATTCATGAGTTCAGTGTGTCATATGTTCAGACCAGTGAGTGTGTTTTATCAAGCTTGTTCTGTGAACAACCCAAACTAATCCTCATGTACAGATGTTACAGTATAATTACTGACAGTAAATGAACTGACAGCAAAAACACTCTAAGTGTTGAAGAAAAGATAAATTACTATAGCTTATAGGCGATCAACAGTCTTCTTGACAGCGTTCAGGACTCATTGATCAGCTAATGAATGTTATGATGGACAGTGTTCTGAAACCAAAAGAGAGACATTATTTCCATGTAGCTGCATGCAGATGTTTTCTCTCTGATCTGTGCAAACTTTTCCTTCATTGAAGGAATCTCTTTAGTTTGTTACTGCAGTTTAAAGACAGATCACACATTATTGATACATTTAATTTCTTGTGACTTTGCTTGTTCGATGCTAATAAAATTTTGAAACATTAGTACTGAATGTTTTGCTTTCTTATTACGTCATTATCTTTTTGGTCCAGCCCATTTATGCACACTTAACCAAAATGAGCTCAACACCCCTGTCTTCAAATATTGTGTGAATAAAACACCTCATGTTTAATATTTAAAAGGGATTATTAAACCTCACTATAAACCTGATGTGAAATAAACAATAAATAAACAAACCATCTGTGGAAACCAAACTGAGTAGGAAAACGTGTGTGTGTATTTGCACACACATTACTCTTTACTGGTGGTCGTGCTTATTACTTATACTCACTGTTCTCTGGAATAAACAAATTATTCATCAGCTTATTTGCCATAAATGCCATAAAAGAGACTAAGAAGCTCACTTCGACACCAAAGGTGCTTCACTTGGTGCAGTCAGCAGAAGGTCACCCAGAAAATCATCAAGATGATTCTACAAGTGAGTTGTATTTTTTGTATATTAAAGGTTAACTCTGCATTCAGGGGCAAATATAATTTGTTTCTGTGTTTTTTAGCTTTTAAATTCATACAATTAAGACAAATTAAATCTTAGTTTTGCTCTTAGAATATAATATAAAGTCAAACAAAGCATTGTCTGTTTTGTTTGTATGATGATCCTGAACTAATATATAGTTTTTTTTCTTCTTGAGTATCTCTAAAAATTGATCTACTTTTTGATAACTTTCAACAATACATGGAAGGCTCATCAGTCTCTTAACTTCCCCCTGTTTTCATTATAAACCAGATCAGTACATTTTTATCAAATAGTATTAATTTTGTGTCTTTTCTTCTTCAGCATTTGAACAAGAAATTTCATCACTGATGATGTTGTTACATCTCCTTGCTCCTCCCTCCACTACCAGGAGGACAAAAATTTCCAAAAATCAGTGCAAGTGATGCAAGTCAGACGCTTGTAGTTTAATTTTAACACTTTTTAGTGTAGAAAGCCTCACACTATAGGGAGTGAAGCCAACACTAACCAGAAGCTTAAACATTGTATCTCAGTAGAGTCACTTACTCAGTCTCTAAAGTGTTATTTTAACCCAGTTTTGGGAGTTAAAACATGAACTCTGGCACAGTGTTAAATATTTTAACTATTTAAAAAATGTTGATTTAACTCTAAAGAGTGTGTGTATAAACCCTGAAAAAGTGTTGAAAATGACTCTGTGGGAGTTAATTGTGGTCTTTTTTCTGTGCAGATGCATTTGGAAATCATCCCATGGAGTCCTTATAAAGGCTGATCTGAGGAGCATTCCTCACACACACCTTACCTTACCTTACCGTACTTTCTCTATTGTTCCCCCTTGGGTAGCCCTCCCCCAGGCTTGTACCTGTGGCTTTGTGTCCTGCGGGTAGGGATTGGCTGTTCTGTTTTTCCCAACCGTGCCATGAAGCTTTAAGCCACTTCTTTAGACAAGATGGTCCAACCCATGACTAGGAAGGTGTACCTAATAAAATGGCGAGTGAGCGTATATGTAGCATATCTGTGGTTTCATTTTCGTGGCATTAAGTTTTTCACGTTAAAGTGCTGTACAGGAGGTTGTACCTGGTTAGTACCTGGATGTGAGACTGTGAACACCAGGTGTGAACAAACCTGCTAAAAAGTATTTATAGAAGACATTTTAAGAAGTTTATTCATTTTATGACAATTTATGAAGTTCGTGTGAAGTTTCCTCAGATACAAAACAGCTGCTGCTCCATCATAAAGTGGAGACTTTATGATGGAGTTGGAGAGCCTGCTGTCTGCCAGTAGAGGGCAGCGTCACACCATGTTTATTTTTGGGCAGCCGTGAGAGAGCTGCCGACTTTCCCTACATACTGCAGTGTCTTAGTGCTCTGACTGAGACTCGTCTTTTCCTTCTCAATTTTTCTGTTAAATCAGCTTCTCATTAAAAGTCAAACTTCAATCAAATGACCACAACCTTCCACCAGGGAACTTTAACATAAACAGACGTGATGCATTTATGCTCAGTTTTTTAAAAAGACAATTTCACCAGTATGCTCAGGAAAAAAAATCCAGCAAAATGTAAATAAAGGCAGTTTACCAGCGCTGTTAAGAAATTATTTTACATGGGAAAAAATTGATGTTTCTTATGTATATAAATTTATATTATATTAACTCATGTGACATATTAATTTTCCTTAAAACTTAAAATGAGCACATTCAAAGAGATTATTCTTACAAGTGGTGATCTTTTATAAATTTGAAAAAATGCTTGGTCGATGGTGATTTTGTTGAGAAGGTGAGAGCTGTCATTATGGAGGCAGATGAAACTATGGTCTCGTACGACGTTACATCTCTCTTCATTTGCATCCCGGAAGCGTTGAAGGTAGTCCGTAAGAGATTACAAGATGACACCAACCTCAGCAACAGGACCACTCTCAGCATCGACCAAGTTGTTTGCTTTTGAAACTGTGTCTTCATTCCACCTACTTCACATACAAGGGTCAGTTCTACAGGCAGAAACATGGGTGTGCCATGGGCTCCCCAGTTTCACCCATTGTGGTGAATTTGTACATGGAAGAAGTGGAAAAGAGGGCTTTGCTATCCTACCCTGGAACACCACCAAGCCATTGGTTCAGATATGTGGATGAAACCTGGGTGAAAATCAAATCCCAGGATGTACCACACTTCACGGATCACATTAACTCGGTGGACCGACTCATCAAATTCACCAGGGAGGATATGAAAAGTGGCAGGTTAGCCTTCTTAGACTGTGAGATTTCCATCAGTAATGGGGGACATCTAAAAGCTGATGTGTACCGTAAACCTACACATACAGATCAGTATCTAAGGTTTGACTCTCATCATCCACTGGAGCACAAACTGGGTGTCATCAGGACGCTACAACACAGAGCGAACACCATCCCCACTGACACAGCGGCCAGAGAGGCAGAAGAACATCACATCAAGAAGGTCCTGAGTAAATGTGGTTATCCCAGCTGGACATTTGTCAAAGCGGGAAAGGCACCTAAAGAAAGCTCCAGCAGGACAACCGCTGCCCAAGTGAAAACCTGTAGTGATCCCATATGTGTAGCTTCAAGCTTTGGTAAGTGAAGCTTAACACCTGCTTTAATTTTAATGACCAGCGGTGGGCGATTCACAGTTTCATATAAGTCTTTGTTTGTGATTTGTGACAATGTAGATGAAAACATAAAGTTCATCTTCCTCATCATGATAATTCTAAGAGGCATACATGAGGATCAAGGAGGGTGAAGGGATACTTTTAAATATCATTGAACTGTTTCCTTGGTAGTGGGTTTTGGTCAGAGGTTGTTGATCAATGGTCATGAGAATTTGCATAATTAAGATTAAGGAACTGACCTCCCAGCCCATTGTTCCTTCAGTGGGCTGGTTTCAATCATTATGCAAATGTACTGTTTATATGATTGGGGAAACCTGCAGTCAGAGACTGAAGAAGTCACTTGAATGAGTGACGAAACGTTTCTCCCACAAAACGTTACGTCCAGATGAACAGAATCAACTTTTGGAGACTCTTTACATAAATGTCATCGTTTCCCTGCTCACTTGATGGGAAAGTGTCTCACAAGGACTGAGCTGA